GGCTGGATATGCTCCTATGTAGTGATATTTCTCATGGAAATATTTGCATCACAGTCTAAAAGACACTGCTGGGTCAAACACGAACAACCCCAATTAGCCGTCAGTTGAAACGTGCACTATTTAATCAGATAAATTAACCCAACCTTTTTGTTTTTCGTTCATATTTGACACACCATTGGATAAAAACAACCCAGCATTATTTGTTTTCAGGCTGCGCGCGTGTTCGCAGTGCCTCGGCGGAGGAATGCGGCTCTTACAGCTCTTGTGTAAATTATGATCTGATATTGCATTTTTGGTTTGCTCTCGTCAGTTTTTGCACAATTCCCGGATGGATTCTGGAGGTGAAGTAAATACAGAGGAGCTCCTCTTTACTTCTGCCCATTCAACACAATCAGCCTGACACACAAACAGCAGAAGAAGACATTTAAACATTAATAATAACGACTGATACACTCGACAAACACAAATGACAGCGTTGAGTCAAATAACCCAACCGTTCGGTTAAAAATATAATATAAATGTATTATAATGACTTATACATTAAAATCAATGAAAATATATAAAATAGCCAGGCGGTTGGATTGGTTTAACATTTATCTCAGTGTTGGGTTAAAATAAATCATTTTTAGACTGAAGTGAAAAGATTTATGATTATTGCAATGTTTTGAGAACAGATCAATGTTCATTTTTAGTTATAAATGCACTCAAAATTATCATTAAAATTCTAATAATGCATATAAAATAAATAAATAAATAACTGCATTGTCTAACTGTTATACATTTGAAGAGATGCACATTCGGATAATTAGAAAATATAAACAACAACAATAAGAGTCTAAATCAAAGGTGCTTTGGGTCAATATTTAGTTTTTTCAATATTTTTATTTAACGTTATTTATATCCAAAATTTTCGTAAGATTTTTCCCAAAACAAAGTATTTTCAGGGATATATATTTTTATGAAACTATTTATATTTAACATATATATTAGAATAATATGTTCCTGATGTCCTGTAAGACATGGTTTTTAATTAATGTTACATCTCTAAAAACTCTGAGATGTTGTAACCCATTGGGTTAATATATGGACAAACCCAACCAATTGTATTATTTTTTAATTTAATTTAAATACTATAGAAAAGATTAAGAAAAGAATCAGCAGTAGGATTTGTCCACATTTGACCCGACACAACATTTTTAGAGTGTGCATATTCGCTTATTTATTTAATATATCCATTCATTAAGCTCAGAATAAATTAATTAAAACTAATTAAATAAAATGTATAGTTCCCATTTACATATTAAACAACCAGGAGCAAATCTCAAACAACTTGGATTTAAATCACATTAAACATCAATAATACCTAATAACATTTAAAAGGGACACACTGACAAACACATTTTTAAATCAAGGCTGATTGTGATGGTTTAGTTTTAGGGGATGTGTAAATTATAAAAGTAATTTACCCTCTATGGAATGCTGGGTTACTTTAAACCAATGGGTCAAATATGTAAACCAATGTATGGTTAATTTCTTTCTTTCTATTTAAATTACACTTTTTAACACTACGAATGTGTATTTTTCATGTTGGACCCAGCATTGTGTTAAAACAACCCAGCATTTTTAGGAGTGTGGGTGTATTTTGTTGCTTTACCCCCTTTTAAAAATAAAGCAGCATCTTCCAACTTTCACACATTATTACAGCAATATATAGCCTATATAAAATATATTTAAACATGAATAATGCCGAACATATACTCAAATAAAAACGAGAAGTGATTTTAACCCAACGCTGAGTCAAATATCAAACCCAATCGTTCGGTTAAAATGTAAATGTATTATAATCATTATTAATTCATTCATTTTCTTTTCGGTTTAGTCTCTTGATTAAGGGGTGGCCACAGCGGATTGAACCGCCAAATTATCCAGCATACGTGTCACGCAGCGGATGCCATTGCAGTTTACACCACGGCCAATTTAGCTTATTCAGTACCCCTATAGCCTACATCCACACAGAAATGCCAACTGACCCAGCCGAGACTCGAACCAGCGACCTTCTTGCCTTGACGCCCACTGTAATTATTATTAATTTAATTAAAAAACACAAAACATATTAAGTTAGATTGGTTAATATTTGTCCCAATGCTGGGTTAAAATAAAAATCACGTTATTCTTCAGAGGTTTATGTTTATTTTAATGTATTTGAGAACAGATTAATGTTCATTTTAAGCAGTGTCAAGCCAGAGAATTGCTTTCAAATTATAATAGCAATAACCAATGCATTTAGAAATAAATAAATAAATATACTGTGTGATTCTGATAAATTTGAAGAGATGCAAGTTCAGATAATTAGAAAATGTGAACAATAACAATAGACGAGCTTTCTGTAACTCAACAGTGAGCTTAATAAACGTGTCCCGATATTGGGTTAAAAAACTAATCACACGTTATATTTTAGAGATTTTAGACTGGAATGATAATTTTTATGATATTTTAATGTATCTAAAACAGATTAATGTGCATTTTAAGCAGTGTCAAGCTAGAGAAATGCTTTTAATATTTACAATAGCTAATGCATATATAAATAAATAAATGCAGGTCGCCGATACATTTGAAGAGATCATTAGAAAATACACAATAACAATAAAGGAGTTCTGCAGGATTTCAGCTGCTGCTTTAACATGTTTCACTCAGGCCTTGATCTCAGTATGAAGGAATGAAAAACAGCCCCTGCTCTCCGACTGAGGCCAAACACACACACACACACACACACACACACACACACGCACGCACGCACGCACGCACGCACGCACGCGCCTTTTATGAATGTTTAAACACACCAACAAAATAATACGGTTTCCTTCACACTCGACCTGCTGATTAAAATCACTCCTCGCTGTTTTACACGACTGATACACCGTTATTTGAAGCACTCACTGCACTGCACTGCTGTACAAACGCTTTGACGTCCAGTGTTATTTGCGCATGTGCCAAAAAAGGACATTTCCTCAGATTTCACTCCGTTATTCATGTCTGCATTTAAATTCATGCATCCATAATCATTTAAAATTACGATTATCGCGAAACTAACAAATGCTTTTGTCTGTTTTATAAGAAAATATTTTGTTTATGAAAAGGTCGGAACAAGAAGAAATGCAAGAAAGAAGGATAGATAGATAGATAGATAGATAGATAGATAGATAGATAGATAGATAGATAGATAGATAGATAGATAGATAGATAGATAGATAGATAGATAGATAGATAGATAGATAGATAGATAGATAGAAAACTAAATAATAAACAAAGATCGAAAAATAGAAAAATGGGAATAAAGAAAGAAAAGAAATAAACAACAAATGAAAAAGAAAGGAAGGATAAACAAATAAAGAACAAAGAAAGAAAGACAGAAAGGCAAGTGAAAATGGTAACATTAGTATTGTAGCATTTTCACAGTAATTATTAAAGACTTTATCATCTACTAAACACTAAATAAAATGGCCCCTGCAGGTATTTCACAAGGAATTATTTGTTTATCTGAATCTGCTAGCACCAAAACAAATACTTAGCTATATAATCTGATCCGAAATTAAACCATGTTTTTTAATTACACCTATCAATTTCCACGTAAACATCATGATTGAATCCATTTGTCCACAGATGCTTCATCAGATAACGGGACCTATATTTCTTCGCGGATTATTTTCCCTGGATGAATCGTTTGTTCGCAGGAGGAGATTAAAGAAATCATTTCAGGCGTGCTTTTGCTTTTTTTACTGTCCTAAACGCGTCATTTTCATCCAAGTTTAGAGTAAAAAGGTGTGTACACACTTCTGGGTTGTAAAATACAATTGGTTCAAATGTGCACGAAAGTGCTGAAATTACACTAAAGTTTTTTTTGCATAATAATTATTTAAATAACATAATAATAAACCAATGTTGGATTAGTCCATATTTGACTGAAACACACTAGCTTTTTGTAGAGTGACATCTAATAATCTGTATAATAGCATGCACTCTAGAAAATGCTAAAACAACCATATATCCTCTCTCTATCTGTCAATCTCTTTCTCATCACCCAAAAGACAATCTTAATCAAAACAGTTTATTGAAGGCAAATAAAAATAAGTGCTGGTTTGACAATCCAATTTGTGGAAGAAAAATAAAAGAATCAAAATCACAATGGTCCCAAACAATCGCTCTGTTTAAAACAACACATGAACTCCCGATCAAAGCAGTTTTATTTATATATATATTTTTTTAGCGTCTTAAATCGAATTTAATGATTTCACAAGTTTAAACACGAGTGATCGCTGCAGTCCGGAGGATTAAGCCACTGAGGTCTACACGGTACTCTGTAAAATCTGTTCAGAGGTCTGTTTCTGGATATTTGTATTTTCCTTTTATTTACGGCTGTGAATTGCATTACGGGACTTTTATTGACATTTTGGTATATTTTATTTATATGATGTATTAGAAATACCATATAACGAAATAAGACTGTAAAATATCAGAAAATACTACAGTTTAGCCTATTACAAAGTCTCTCACTGAAAAAAGTGTTGCATGCAGAACTGTTGCAAACAATTTATTTGTGTTGAATTTAAACAAATTAAACTGAATAAGTTTCAACTTAATTTGTTTGTTTAAATTCAACACAATTAAATTGTTTACAACCACTTAACGTAAAAAATATTGAGTAAATCCAAGGAATCATCTATGAATAATTTTTTTCAGCGTAATAAACACTGGAAAATATATATTTTTACTTGTTTAAACTACTTAATTAAAATTAGCTAAAACAACACAATTCTTGAGATTTCATTTGGAACAACTTAATTTGTTCATGTTAAATCCACATACATTTGTTAAAAGTGTTAAGTTAACTTAATCGATTTGTGTTGGGACAACAGGAATGAATTGTGAGAAACCCTGCACTACAACACCAACCCACACATCACTTTATAGTTTAAAATGCAACATTTTTGGAAATTGTCAAGTTTAAAACTTATTGGAAGAAACATCAAGATGCCCTAATGCAATTCAAAAGCATAAATAAACGGAGGAAAACATATAAAACAATCACAAAAGCACGGAAAACTGCTAATTTGCGTGTAGTGCATGTTCACTGTGTCCAGCAACAAAAAAGTTACCCTGTTTACCTTGAACGATCGACAGACAAAGTTCGTAAATATCCTCGAAATGAGGTTCAAATGTCAATCCGCGAGTGCAGCGCGGAGCTCTTGGCCTCATGCTCCCAGTACGAGTAGAGCTCCGCCGGCTGCCGGGAGCAGGTGAACTGCAGAGCGGCCGCGCTGTTGGACGGAGCCGCCGACTGCTGCTGGTGCTGCGGCTGCTGGTGGTGACCCATCCCGCCGTACGAGTTCATCATGTTCGGCAGCCCCATGGCTTGCATTCGGCTGTACGGGTTATACGAAGGGGTCGACAGTGCTTTCATTGCGCCCATGTTGCCATTGGGCATCTGGCAGGACGCGTAGCTCATGGCCGGCGGAGGAGGCTGCGGGAGCGGCCAGCTGCTGTTCATGAAGCCCGACTGGAGGTACTTCGGCGCGGGGAGATACCCGGTGTACGCGTCGCCCCCAAACAAACTCTTCCCAGCTTGGAAGTGAGCCGCGGGCGGTCGAAACGGCCGCTTCATCCGCCTCCTCCTTCGGTAGTTCCCCTTCTCGAACATATCCTCGCAGGCCGGGTCCAGGGTCCAGTAGTTGCCCTTGCGCTCCCCGCCGCCCTCCCGGGGCACTTTAATGAAGCACTCGTTGAGACTCAAGTTGTGTCGGATGCTGTTCTGCCAGCCTTTTTTATTCTTCTCATAAAATGGGAATTTGGTGATGATGTACTGGTAGATGCCGGATAGAGTGAGCCTCTTCTCGGTGCTCTCCCGGATGGCCATGGCGATCAGGGCCACGTATGAGTAGGGCGGCTTCTGCGCCGGGTCGGTCTTCTCGGAGCCCGGCTCCTGGAGCGGCTCGTCCTCCTTCTTCACCGCGTTGGTGTCGTGCACCATGAGAGCCATTGCGTCATCATCTAAGCTATGGTAAGATGCCATCGCTTTAAAAACACAAGCAAACAACACGTCAAAACAAACACGCACACACACACACAGAGAGGTTTATTCTGTAAAGCGCGACGCACCTGATTTGAGCTCCTCCGGTCACCGCGGATCCATCAGTGGAGATAAACCGGAGAAACACCGCGGGAATAAGAGCTCGTGCTCCGCGTAGCGAGGGCTCGAACTGCGCGCTGGAGATCTCGGTGTCGTTTAAACTCGAAGGTTCTTCTGGAAGATCTCGCAAGTTTTTTTCCGTCCAGTGAAAGGCGAAACTCTGCTGTCGTCAGACTGATGATGATGATGATGATGAGAGCCGCAGATTCCGCTTTCGTCACTTCTCTCTTCTATTTTGCCACCGAAATAACAACTTTATCATGTAATGCGATGAAAGACGCAGATATTTAGCACTTTATGTTTATGTTTTTCCTTACAACAGTCCAAAACAATCCGTAATTATCATGAATTTATGCACAGCAAAAAAATGAGTGTACATTTAACTCAATTTGAGTTTAATTTAACACTCCTTGGGTGTACATATGACTCCCTCCATTTTGGAGTTAAAATAACACTTTCTAAAGTGTAAAATTTGTACATTACTCAAAGAGTTTATTTTAACACCATAAGAGTTTATTCTAACATCAAACCGGAGTGGTTGTTACCCTCCAAAGTGTTAATATATAAAATTTGTACATTACTCAGTGTTCATTTTAACACCGTAAGAGTTTATTCTTACATCAAACTAGTGTTTGTTACCCTTTAAAGTGTTAATATACTAAATTTGTACATTACTCAGTGTTCATTTTAACACTGTAAGAGTTTATTTTAACATCAAACCGGAGTGGTTGTTACCCTCCTAAGTGTTAATGTATAAAATTTGTACATTACTCAGTGTTCATTTTAACACCGTAAGAGTTTATTCTAACATCAAACTAGAGTGTTTGCTACCCTTCAAAGTGTTAATATATAAAATGTGTACATTACTCAGTGTTCATTTTAACACTGTAAGAGTTTATTTTAACATCAAACTGGAGTGCGTGGTACCCTTCAAAGTGTCAATATATTACCTTTATTTCCTAATTATCAATTGGTGGGTGTGACAGATAACAGTGATCAAATATGTTGAAAATTGTTTATTAAATGTTCATCAAACTTTAGAAATATTTTCAATACATTCAACTCTGCATTTAAAAATGCAACGACATATTTCAATTTTTTTTAACAAACTTTAGAAAATCTGTTTCCACAAGTGCAAGAAAATAGAATTAACACATGCGCAATAAAAAAGACCATTGTTTAAAAACTCTTTGTTTTGCAAGTCATAGAAATATCATATAACTCATTTTGTAACTCATAGAAATATCATAACTCGTTTTTTGTAACTCATAGAAATCATATAACTTGTTGTTTTGTAACTCGTAGAAAACTCATAAACCTGAGGTTACCTGAAACAACATATACTTATTTCATAAAGTGCAAACATGAAAGTGCCCATGGACTAAGCTCATTTCTGCCACAAAAAAAGAACAAGCTAAAAACTCACAATTCTGACTTCAATATAAAATCTGTAAATACATTCAGCTTATGTGCTAAACAATCAGAAATTAGTGCAAGCTAATTAAATATTTTCGTGCACAAAACAATGCACTGGAACAATATACAAATATGGTTCTTCAAATCCATATGATGCCTGTAAGTCAAATGGTCTGAAAAAAGGAAGATCCTCAACTCTTGACAAACCAAAAGTGTTATTTTCTCTTACATGGTATGCATGAAGATGCTCAACAAATCCAAGTGTTTCAAAGTCTTTAGTTACCAAAAGGTTTTGGTCCTCTATGAAAATAATTTCACATATTTTACTGAAAATTGGTAAGTCCTTCTCCATTTTACTGAACACCAGTAGATCATGACGATATTCCGTTCCTGAATATTTCAGCCATGAAGTTACTGTGATCTCACGGTCCAAAAAATGTGGATACATTTTAAGAATAATGTCACGATATGGCAAATCATCAAGGTCTAGAGTTTTTAAAGGTCCATATTCAACATTTTTAACGGGTAAACTTTCCCAATGATACGCAATTGCATATTGGTGTTTTATAGCAAAAGACTTGGTGAGGTTTTTAAAATTTTTTATGCTGTTTTTAAAAAACTTGTGTTTCGCTTCACAACGCATCGACCATACATGTACTAATGGACCAATTTTGCGTATACAATGTGGATAATGTAGCATAAAATGATGCTTGGGAATCAAAGACTTTTGTGGATATAGCTCTTTAAAAAGACTATGATGTTCTAAAATTAGATGTTTCAGATAGTAGGTCATGCCTTCTGTTATCACAGGAGAAAACACTATGTTGATGATCTGTAACAACAATAGTAATAAACGCCAGTAATTATTTTCCTCTTCAATGAGGTCTCCAAATATCAGAGGAATGTTCCGTATTAAACAGAATGTCTGAATGGCATTTAGACCTATAGAATTAGCTGTCTGCTCAAGATTTAATCTAGTGGGTCGGTTTTTTCTTTCAAGAAAGCCATAATTGAAAGAATAGATTCTGTTACATACGTCTTGTCTTGGTATAATGCCAGAAAGATATTCAAGAAGTAACTTCATTTCATACTGACCAACACCCTCGAGGATGTCGTGCATTATATCAGGGGAGTAGTTGTCACAAATATGAAAGTATTTTAAGTCATTAAATAGACATGTACGCTTAACCCCAAAAGATGAAGTAATGCTAGGGTCAGCTACCAAATCTGCATAGTGCTGTTCTTGTAACGCTTTGTTTCTTAATGTAATATTAGTGTCGTCTTCACTGAAAACAGACTGAGATGTTTTTTTGTCTACTAAACAGAACCGACAAAAGTAAAGGGCACTAAAAGATTCCATAAAACCAAGAATTGTGTGCATTCCCAAGTTGTCGCCAGTAACCTGTGCAATAGTGCCAAACAAGGGATCTTTGGAGAAAGGAACTGGAATGCCAGAACTTTCAAGGACTTTTAAATCTTCAACAAGGGGCCGCAAAATTGCATCAAATCCATAGTTTTTAATATCCTGTGCATAGAATAATGACAATAAATGTATGTTCATTAAGCTTGAATTCATTTTGGGTGGAAAGTTCCTGAGAATAAAGTAAATTACTCCAATTTTATGAATGCCTTGCTTCGAGCCCAGCGGATTAGCAGATTCAAAATCATCATAGTATAACTGTATCTGAAGTGCATTTTTATGTTTACTGTAAAGTGGGTGGTTTTTAAAATAATCCCCATCACAAAAATCTTTATAGACAGATGTACTCGCACTTGGACTTGTCATATGTTTACATATATCCGAATTCCTAAATATAAACTGCAATGTGTTCAAAAAGGGAATGTAAATGAACTTGTCAGTTACAGGAACTTGATCATAAGTCCTCGTCACTCGATTCAATCTACTGTCAAATCGTACACCTAGCTTTATCTCAGTAGGATCGACAACAGCCCATTTGTCTTTGAAATATTTTTTCCATTTGTGTTCTGTGTTTAGATTTGTGAATGGATTATTCAGACTACTAAAACAGTCATCTACCTAGGATGGTGTTGCAAAATCCTTTGCTGGAAGTAAATTCATTACTTTACTTTTAATATCAGAATGTATTTCATGGACCAGTTCCTCCATGTCCGATATTACAGAAGTTACAACACTGGTTGCTACTCCACTATTTTGCAATCTAGCAACAATAGATGCACACATTTCTTGAGTGTCAATCACCCTCCTTTTATCACCGAGTGGTGTCTCAGGTTGTTGTTCATTATGATTATTTAAATGTGACGGTTCAGTATCTTCAGTCTGATTTTCAGTCTCTGCTTGGTCTAGAAATTCATGTCTATGAACACTACTCAAGTGTTTTCGAAATCCGGCATAAGTCATGAAGCTATGCTTGCAATTGTTCTGTGCACATTTCAAGTTCAATTTTTTCCCAGGATAATAAGCATGAATGAGTTTTAGATGACGAATGAGGTCATTAATTGTTAAATGTACCGCTTTACAAGCAAAACAGCGGAACATTTTCAGTCAGTCAAGAGAGCTAATTCAGAAGTTTGGCTCGTAGGTCCTTTACCCTTGGGGTTTCACGAACTGTGCCACAACCAATCTTGTAGATTGTTGTCTGAACAAATGTAAACATTGCATTTAAGGAGTGGGGGTATGACACACTAAAAACAAAATACGCTTTAAACAGTTCGTCAAAAGCAGAAAGGGATGACTTTGCCTGACATGGTAGAAGTTTTCCATCCAGAACAATGTAGAACTCATGAATGGCATTCTTTGCAGAGCCAACTGCAAGGAGATGTGGTTGCAGGCCTTCAGTCTTCTCAACATATTCAGTTAGACTGCAACAAGCCTGAAACAGGTGAAAAACAGATTTTCTTACAAACAAGTAACCTACAATACAGCTCACTAATGTTTCCATGCAAACCTTGTGAAACTGCACAACATGATCCATTGCCTCCTTAATGCTGATCTTTGTTGAATTGTTTCTACCACCTGCTGAAGGTGGCAAAAGGAAAGCCAGTAGTAAAAGACAGGACATGTCACTGTCCCATCCTGCAAGCAAGAACAAAGAGAGCATGTAGATCAACAACAAATACAATAACCAAAAACTTACAAATAACAAACCATTTAATACCTTGCCATTCACATTCCAGGTTCTGTCCAGTGCCAGCTGCAAGCAGGCTGTTTAGGTACAAGTTTGAATTAAGCGTTTTCGCCTCTGCGATGATCTTTGGCTTTAAAGTGTCCCATTGTTCTAGTAGTCTGGAAGCGGTTTCAGTTCCAAATTTGATGTCAAAGTCTTGAAGAACCTGTAAAACAATTACAAACATAACAAAAATTCACACCATGCTTTTTGCATATTACCTAATTTTATCTCAACCAAATACTATTATCTGTCTCTTTCTCTTACCAATCCCTTTGTGTCGAGAAATCTTGGAAAAACTGAAAGAGCTGTGCTGGACTTCTCTGCATCATGAATAAGCTGCTGTCTGTGCTTGAATGTTAATTTCATCTTCTCAAAAATCTGGTCCTTGTCAGCACAATGACTCATAAATGATATGGCTTCTTTGCATTGGTCGCCATCGAGCTGCTTTTCCAAATAGTTCCAGTTGGCTCTGTTAGCTGTTGGTCCTCCGTTGCCTTCATCATCCGATGCTGCACTTGACCTGGCATTTCTTGTGCTCTGGCTTTTGCTTCGGCGTGAAACTGTTTTCAGACGCCATGATATGTATCCTTGATTGCTCTTGGGGTCATAGAAATGTTCCTTAAATAAAAACAAAATGACTGCTGATAAGATCAAATGCAAACATTTAAAATTTCTGATCATGTCACTACACTAGACTAAAAAAATACTGATGAAGAATACAACAAAATTTATTTAATTCAATTAGGGGAACTAGAAATGTAACATAGTTCCACAAAATCTAAAATATGTTTCTATAAGGTACAGTAGAATAATAATAAGTTTTAAATTCTTACATATCCAGTTCTTGAGTATGGATCCTTCAGTGATGGGCAAAGAGTTACAATTCCCAAGGCACAGCGTGTTTTTGTTTCTTTGGAAGGGACACGACTATAAGAACAAGAAAAATAAGTTAAAACACTAAAACAGTTTGATTACAAAAATTGTATCAATGATTTTTAGATTGAAACCTACCCTTCTTTTTCAGTTATGTATGCAACAACGATGTTGACTAACTGTCGCCGGGTTGAATCTGTGAGTTTTCCATGTTCATTATATTCGGCCAAAACGGCAAGTCCACCAGCCTTTTCTTTCAAAATTTCACTAACAAACTACAATAAAAACAAAGTGATAAAATGTCTGCATAATAAAAAAATGTGAAAAAACTGCCAAACACTTCAACTAGTACATCATGAAATTTAAAAATTACCTGCTTAGCCTCAAAAGCTTCATCAAAACGAGGTCTCTTCATGCTTGGCCCAGCACGGTCATCAGTTTCAGTGTGGTTTGGGGTGAGAACTAGTGTGTCTGAGTGGGAGCTACAAGAATCGAGGACTGTGCATTCTGAAAGTAATAGTAATAATAATATTAAAAAGCATGTTATATGTACTGCATTCTAGTGATGTGCCAAGCAATTTTAAAATTAGATTTGCCCTAAGCCAAACTTCTTAATGTTTAACATCACAAAACCAAAAGGTATGTCAGAGATTTTCAGCATACAACTTTGCATCACATAAAACATGGAATTGGTCTTTCAAACTTGCGAATATAGTAGGCTATCAGTTGTTTTTGACTCAAGAGAGAGCAAAAACAGTATTTAAGATGCTGCTCGCTCCCTCAGTCACAAGTGCAGTCGCCAGTTCACTTACAAAACTGATGAAATAAGGCTTCACAATGTAGGAAAAACCCAGAAGATTAATATGAAAAAGATACATTAATTTGATTTTAGTAATAGGATTTACTTTTAAATATTAAATTTAGTAGTACATTTCAGTCATGAATGATTGAATAACTAAGCATTTACACATTTTTAGATAAAACAATTTCACAATTTAAGCACAAGTTATCTGACATATCGTTTTAATGGAACTGTAGCTTGTCGCCACATATGAGGCCAGTTTAAATAATTATAACAGGGCTCGAAATTGCGACCATTTTGGTCGCATATGCGGCCTAAATTTTATCTATGCAACCTTAAAATATATTTGGGAGGAATTCTGCGAGTGCTTAAAATTGTTGTGTGCGACCAGTTTTTACTGCAAAATGTTCACCACATGCACGGATTCGGGAGACATTCACGCAGAATGCATCTCTAAGCTCTTTGTCTGCACTTGAAACGCAGCACACAGAAATGGTTTAAAACAATTGTCATGTCAACTTGCTGCAGTAAACAAAGCCAAGTCCGTAATGCTTGCCCCACCTTTACGCTCTTCTTATTGGCCCACCACTGCTCTAGCACTGAATGCGAATGATTGGTTAATATCAGCTGTCAATCACTCAGTCAGCGCCTTGCCTTCTGGCGTCGGATGAGAGAGCTACTACCGTGAAAAACTGTAAAGCGCTGAAGATGAGAATGAAGATAACACTGGCAGATTTTGTTTTAGAAACCATGGCATCTAAAGTTATAAATGACACATCTTACTAGTGACTATGTGCTAAATGTTAATCCACCATCTACACTTTTCCAAGAGTAGAAGACTTCCATTGGCTTCAAGTCTGCTATGAAAAGTCTGTGGGATGGAGTTTTCAGGTAACTGTTTGCTACATATAGCACGACAGCTTCTGTTTAATCCTTCATATAAATCGCCAGATGCTGTCCGCCATGCAAGGGGCAGCTATATGTCAAATTTAACACCACGTACAACATCGCAAACGGGCTTGCACTGAGTAAACTAACATCGCTACTCCTAAAAAGACCAGTATTGCTATTAACATGACGTATGCATATAATAAGGTACAGTAAGTGTCAAAAGCATCAGTGCAATATCAGACAGCACTTGTGAGAACAGCACAGTTATACCATTAACAGATTCATTCAAGCAGTGCGTGCAGGGCCAGTGATCGCTCCGTGTATGCTTTTGGTCACTCAGTTATGTTATAAAAATATATTTTCTTGTGATAACTGGATTTCGTTGAGACATATTTTCCTTACGCTTGCATATCTAATAATTTTTTTTTTGCTTGTTAGTTTGATTACTGTTGATTTCAAATGCAATAAATATGTTAGTATAAAACTTGTAGTAACGGTGCTCATAATTGGTGGGTGCGACAAAATTTTGGCTGATGCGCCTAAATTAGGAGCACCGGTGCTACCAAGCAAAAAGGTTAATTTCGAGCCCTGTTATAAAGTTAGAAAAAAAGGCAAACAGATGTGGTTTATTAAACATTGAATGCATGGGACCAGAAAGCCCTGCATACAGAAACTTGCCTGAATCTTGGTCAATGACTCTCCAAAGTATATCACGCGATCTCTCCTCCAGCACGTCAGTGAAAACATCTTTATCTACCTCCACACCGGTGTCATCTTGCAAAACCAGATCCTTTTGCTCGATGGAAAATTTCTTCTTGACTTGACGTATTAAAAGAAATAACATTAATTGAAAAAAGACATTCCACCTGCAGCAACAGTCAAAACAAAAATGGAGTCAATAATTTAAGAACTTACCTTCTTTTATTAGACTGCTGTAATCAACTTCATCTACCTTAATCAACTTCTTTTTGCCTCCATAAATGACTTTGAAGAGCATTGTAGCTAAAGAAAAAAAAAAAAAGTTTTCGTTTGATTAGGCTTACAGTGTGATTCAAAAGAACACATTGATAAACCGGTGTTGTGCCGAAATCTGTGACTTGTTGAAAACTGTGACCCGTGTGTGACGTTTAGTAAAATTTTCACTCGGCAAAGTGCATGACGTTCATGCATGTGACTGTGAAAGCGCAGACACAAAAATCAAGCAAATAGCGTCGAGCGGTGCTGTAAAGAATGTTTCAAATCCTGGGATTCAGAAAACAGGTTCATGGAAGAATTTTAATGTAGTCGTGATATTTTGTTGTTGTCTGCAGGTAGACTGCTAAAACTAAATATTTAGTTGTGAGATTTGAGTTGAAAAAAAAAAACAGTTCATTACAAAAGCTAATTACTGAGTGTCACATTTTGTATTAGTAAAATTAATCACCTTTTTAATGACATTCTAATCAATTGACATCCAACTGTATAAAGATATCTGGTCATCAATGTTTTAGAAAACAAATAAATTTGACACAAAATGTCAATTTATTAAACATTATAGTAAGTTTATACAGGGAAAACACTTCTATCTTAATCCTACCTGTATCACATGTAATTTGAACTCAGTAATTGGCATTTGTAATGAACTATAGGATTTTTTCGACTCATGTTTAGTTATAGCAGTCTACCAGCAGACAACAACAAAATATCACATTAAAGTTTTTCCATAAACCCGTTTTCTGAATCCCAGAATTTAAAATATCCTTTACAGCACAGCTCGATGCTATTTGCTTGGTTTAGACGTCTGCGCGTTCACAGTCACGTGCATGAGACAAGCACGTTCCCGAGTGAAAATGTTACTGAAGAGCGCGACCTGGTCAATTTTCGACGAGTCACATATTTCATCACAACGCCGGACATCACTAACTTAACGTTATATGGGTTATTCAGTTGAACGGATCGTTAGAGAAAAGGAAAAAAGCTGTAATTCGCCGTTTAAAACGAAGTGCGACCAAAGTGTAACATTAAAGGACGCGCATTTTCAAAATGCAGCTGCCTCAGGGGCAGTCAACGGCGGGAAACCCCGCAGTGATAGTCACAAACTAATTTTTAAAACACATAACGTTAAATATTTCGTCGCGAGAGGATTAAAACTGTATTAATCTAAAATCATAGCCATTTAACTTATCTTTTCGATATGTTTAGGGTCCACGTGCGAAATAAGCCAATGGCCTTACAACATGCTCAAATGAATTAACGTTAGCTTCGACGCCGTGCGACACTTCTCACAAACATTTACAAATATTTAAACTATTTGCTAAATGTAATTATAACGTTAGAGTATTTATTATCGTTGTATCAAACATTTCTTTAGAAAAAACGGCTAAAACTTACCACTGAACTCGGAGCCTCCAAGCCAACCTCCGTGGGATCTCCAACTGAAAAGACAGCCGCGGAGCTGAGCCTCGTGGGAAATAGTGATGTCCGATTCGCGAACGAATCAATCAATTTACCTGGATCGTCCTAGTGAATCAGTTCATCAAGTCCAACTGAATCGTTTGAAACTGTTCACAGTCTCCATTAATCACTAATCACAAATTACTTCAAAATCCTTGCTTTTTAACCGTGCCTGGCACTTTCTCTGATTAAAAAATAAATAAGTTAAATTATTTAGTTACTCGAACAGCGTATGAACGTGCTTCACTTCATCGGCTTAAAAAATCCTAAAGAAACAGGTTCTCGTTCAGTGTACTGATGGTTCTAAAACAGCTGCAACGGTTCTCGAACCTCGTTCTCGAGTTAAGAACCGGTTGCAGCTGTTTTGGATCACAAGTACACTGAACCGAGAGCTACGTGAACGAAATGCGGTTTCTTTCGGACCCGTCCGATTTAAGAACCTAAGAGCTAAAACTGTGCGCATGCGTGAAGTGCTGTGACTCCTGAAGCGGCCGAACACATTCAAGCTCATGACCGTTGTCTGAACCAAACTAATTCTTTGGACTATTTTGTGCTAATGCTATTATCATCTTATGAAACATTGATTTATTAAAATAAGATCATTTAATAACAATTTAATATTAATAGAATATGCATGTGCATATAGTTCACTGTTTCTGATGAGAATTAATTTATTATATCATATAATTGATTATATCATCAAGACTCGTAAAACATACTGGTTTGATCACTGTTTGTCCTAAAGAACCGGTTCAAGTAAAAAAAAAAATGGACTTCCCATCACTGATGAGAAATACACTGCATATTGGGTTAAAAGTTTAACACTGAAAAAAAAAACTCTTAAATATACGCGTTTTCACACTCGTGGATTAAAATGTACTCCAGTTTTAACACTGAACAACACCAAAAAAATCACACTGTATATTTAACACTGGAATTTTTGCTGTGTGTTTTGCATTTGCAGAACAGACTCGCATTGTTTGTTTTTTGAAGAGGGATTGCTCTGTTGTATAGAGCAATGTTATGTATTTGATTAAATAGTAATGTATAACACAACTACATTCCTAAAAATGCTGGGTTGGGGTAATTTATAAGGCATTCGTCAATGTTAGATCATAAATAAAAATGTAATGCCTTAATTGACTAATATAATTAATAATTACTGCATCGTATTACACTGTAAAATAAGATGGGTTGTTTTAACCCAGGGAAGGCTGAGTAAAATATGGACAAACCCAAACGTTGCATTAATTTTTTTTTAATTAAATTGAAATGACACCTTTTTTAACCCAAAAGCTGGGTTGATCCAAATATTACTCGAGTATTTTGGGGTTAAAACAACCCCGCATTATTTGCAGTGACGCGATGCAGTATTACTTAACTGCATTAGTCAATAAAGGCATACATTTGTTATTTAAGATCTAGCTATTTTGACGAATAGGTTTTAAAACCAAAAGCTGAGTTTGTTAATGAAATTATATGCGTCTATTATAGCCTAACTAAAATGAAGAATAGCAAGCCGACTTTTAGGTTTACGTGCATTCATTTATGGTAATTCGGGTATTTCGATGTTTAACCCGTTTACCTTCAACCTAAATAAAAACGAGAATGTAGATTATCAATACCTTATTTCATAAACCATTTATTGCATACATTTTTAAACAGCTGGATTTATCCTGCAGTTTTGATTTATTATCAAATGTTTTCATTTATCCATTAGCGGAGGGTTACTTTATTAATTGTTACACATGTTTAGTTATAACTAATTGTAGATATTAATCTCTAAGCTCAAAGCAGTTTAGTCTAAGCGGAATATATCTTATTTCACGTGCGCTCACACACACACACACACACAGACACAGACACACACACACACACACACACACACACACACACACACACACACACACACACACACACACTCGCGCGCACAGGTGTAGCAGCTGTGTGTTGTGTTTGTCATCAGCATCTCTCGGCTCCTTCACGCCTCTGGAACTGAACAGAATGAAAGGCTTGTTTTGCTGTTTAGTGGAAACTAAAGGAGATGTCGAGCTCATTTTACTCGCGTTTTCACTCGCATTGCACTTTAAATACGTTTGCTTTCTTATAATACACAATCTCGTAAATGTATTAACGACATACTTGTTATCAATTAATGTATTGTGTGTTAGATCAAAATAAAGCAGATAGTAATACTCTGATAATTAATGTAACATCAAAATAGTGATGTTAAATACAAATTAATATTACAAATAACACAATTAAAACTGTATTTAAATGACTTTTCTACTGTATCTACTGACCGAATTTAATTAGTAAGTAATTTAATCACTTGACTATGTGGGGCAGCTGCAACACTTTCGTTCAGTTCCTCAGAGACAATTTGTGCAAACCCAAAATGTTAATATAATAAACCCAAACCTATTGGACACCCACACACATTGCTATAATATGTGCACATTATATGCAGAATTTAAACTTGAATAAAGCAGGATGGTTGCAACAACCCACAGCAGGGACAGGTGCAACATTCAATAAAATGTAATATTAAAAATAATTCTAAAACATCAGGCTTTATTTAATTTTCCTGGGTAAACAGACTAAATGTAAATTGTTAAATTGCCCATATAAATACACTCTCAGAGAAAAATGGCACAATGTTAAACCCCTTGTCACTGGGTCAGTATGTTTTTATGGGACAGAATACCTCCAGGCTCTTATAACTTTTCTTTAAATAAAAAAAAGTACAAAAAATGTAATGTTTACTTTTTATTTGTATTTAGTCTTTTAGCCTTTACAAACAGATATATATATATATATATATATATATATATATATATATATATATATATATATATATAGACATAGTTCATGGGGGTTAGCTTAACCAATGTGATAGACAGAAAGTTTTATCAGAGTTTTTTTTTTTGTATTAGCTGAATATTTAACAATCAAAATAATACCAAAATCCACATCGTAAAAAACAGACAAAGAATAATAATTACACATTTGTACCGTTGCAGTTGTACCTTTAAGCACATGATTTGTGTAGTTTACAATACCTATAGCTTTATGTTTTACCAGTTGTTTTGTTTTATAGAACTAAATAATTAATGTTTACGAGTTTCTTTAAACACATGCTTGTAAATGATGATTCATGATTTAATATGGGAATTTTTCATAAATCACTTTGCCTTTCCAGTGATTTTTATTTATATAGATATTTAATAAAGGAGTTGTCCAACACTTGTAGCGTTAATATGAGAACAATTATTACATTTCAGATGTACCATAAAAGATACAGAACAGTATAAGATGTCTTTTCCTGTGCTTTGTAACTTTTACAAAACTACAAAACTATTCCTCAATGAACATTATTAGTACTTTTTTTATTCTGAAAGCGTACAGACTATTAGAACAACAAGCAACAATCACATATCAGGCCTAAAAACTGAACAAATATATACAATTACTGAAAATCTAGACTGAAGCTTTACTAAACTTTGAAATTAATTAAAAAATCAAGGAATTCTTTTATTAATTTAAATTACATTGGAACTGTGATCAAATTAAAAGTGTACAGTGGTAATATGGCACGCTTTTAAATTAATTTTGGCATTGGGGACAGTTGCAGATCTGAATAAACCGTCTATGCTGTAGGGAGACACAACAGCTTTAAGGCTTGATAGCTATACCTAGTAAAAGCCAAGAAAACATCGATTTAAATGATGCAAATGAATAATGTATCACAAAAACTGTATAATAAACATTCTGAACATTAAATCAATTACTTTTTTTTTTTTTACCTAAAATGAGTACTGAAGGAATGGTCACATATGGCTGATTCCTCTCAGATTGAGGAAGGGTTTAATCATCACTACAGCTCATTCCTAAAACAGAGGCATTAGTCTTGCTGCAGCCATCCCCACTCTCCCTATACTGAACATCCTTATGAATCTGCATTGACTATAGAAAACTATTCAATGTTCAAATTTGAGTCAAAAAGGGGCTTATTAAACGTTTATTACAATATTTTAAGGATTTTAACATGACATTCTTTAGTTAACAAACAGAGTTACTGAAAATAAAACATTACATGCATTAAAAAACATTAAATATTTCAATGCAATCACACTGTTTCATGCATTATTAATTTCTGACTCGATTCTAATTGTTGTTAAGCATGTGCAATCTAAATACATTTTACCTCTTTAGTTTAATAATATACTTATTATGCTCAATATACTTGCATTGCACAATCTGCTGCTCTGCATTGATTTATGCAGAACTGTTGAATCTATTTACAGTCTTTAAGGCAAGTAAAGTATAATTAACTCATAATAATGAAGCATAACCCCTTTGCTTTTCAGTGGATCTGTAATTTACAGTAACTCATTACTCCAAACACTCTCCCATATCACTCCTGCAAATATTATATTATTCTTCATGTGTGTATGTATATTTCCTGACTGACTGTCATGACTCTGTGATGCAAACCGGTACGAATGCATCGCAGGAACATCCAGCACTTTAGATGAGATGCAGCATTGCAGTATACAGACTGATCAGATGCTGGAGAAAGCAGATATTAATACCCAGATAATAAATATAACATTATCATAATAGTGTTGGCAAAAACACATTTACATCTTGTAAACACATTTAATTACTCATTAAGTAATTGAATCACTTGACTCAGCACTGAAAATCCTTAAGATCTGCATGGACTATAGAAATGAAACTATTTTATGTAGAAATTTGAGTAAAACACGAGCTCATTAAAATATTTTAAGCATTTTAACATGAAATTCTTTAGTAAACAAACAGATTTACTCTGCAAAAAATAAAAATAAAACATTACATGCATTAAAAACCTTAAATATTTCAATGCAATCACACTATTATTTCATGCATTATTAATTTCTGACTCATTCATTGTTAAGCATGTGCAATCTAAATAAATGTAACATCTTTAGTTTAATAATATAATTATTATGCTCAATATATTTGCATTACACATTTCTCCACTTCTATGAATTGATTTATACAGAATTGTTGAAGTTATTTACAGCATTTAAGGCAAGAACAGTATATTTAACTAATAATAATGAATCATAACCCCTTACTTTGCTTTTTCAGTGGATCTGTAAAGACTCTGTGATGCAAACCAGTACAAATGCACCGCAGGAACATCCAGCACTTTAGATGAGATGCAGCACTGAAGTACAGGCGTTTATATCCTGATCAGATGCTGGAGAAAGCAGATATTAATACCCAGACAATTAATATAACATTATCATAATAGTGTTGGTAAAAAAGAAGGAAATGACACAATTAAAACTGTATTTAAACGACTTTTCTATCTAGTATATGTATTTAATTACTCATTGGGTAATGTAATCACTTGACTCAGCACTGAAAATGCTTAAAATCTGCATAGACTATAGAAATAAAACTATTCAATGTAGAAATTTGAGTAAAACTTGGGCTTATTAAAAGTTTATTCAAATATTGTAAGCATTTTAACATGACATTCTTTAGTTAACAGAGTTGCTCTGCAAAACTAAAAATATAACATTAGATGCATTAAAAACGTTAAATATTTCAATGCAATCACACTGTTTCATACATTATTAATTCCTGACTCATTCATTGTTGATTAAGCATGTGCAATCTAAATAAATGTAGCCTCTTTAGTTTAATAATATAATTATTATGCTCAATATATTTGCATTACACATTTCCTCTGCTTCTCTAAACTGATTTATACAGAACTGTTGAAGTTATTTACAGTCTTTAAGGTAAGTAAAGTATAATTAACTAATAATAATGAAGCATAACCCCTTTGCTTTTCAGTGGATCTGTAATTTACATTAACTCATTACTCCAAACACTCTCCCATATCACTCCTGCAAATATTACATTATTCTTCATGTGTGTATGTATATTTCCTGACTGACTGTCA